ATGCCTTATCCTAAAACCAAGTGGCTTATTGGATGCAGCTTCTATATAAACATATAGTTTCCGTGCTGAAAGTCTACTTACCTTCAGTTCACAAGGAGAGGGTAGCTGCTGTCTTTTCTGAATTTTAGTCCATGTGATTCTCAGCTCAAGTAAATTGTTTGAAGAAGTTGCTCTACTCAGGTTGATATGAAACATAGTGTATAGGTGTAGCATATAGCAGGAAAATTCTCATTGAACTCATTATTAAAAGAGCAGTTTTCAATGCTAGGAAGAATTTACCATCAATTAATGGTAGTGTTGTCTCAAAACAATATTTGGAAAGTACATCCAGGCATGTGCATGTGCATGCATGCACCACCTTGTTCATGACCTGCTCTTTCTTAAGTTCTCCGGACACTACATGTAAAGTGGAATTCTTAATTCTTTAAATAACTCATTTCTTCCTCTTTCAATGAACTTACTCATGCTCTTTGAACTTCAAGGTAGAAAAATCAAAGGCAGTCACTGTGTCTCTTAGGAGTTCTTGACCTACTTCGCACTGATCAGTTCTCATCTCCTACACAAATGTAGAAACTGTGTCAGAAGGATTTACACAATAAGCTGTCAAGAATGTTTCTTCTTTTAACTTTATGCATTTCGAGGAAGGCAACCTGAATGGAATATGCACAAACTTTAGGTACAATTGTAGGAAAAACGTCTGTGCCAATAGATAAGGTAAAAGATACCTATGTGGGCTCAAGAGGCTACTTGAACAAGTTGTTAAGTATAATTCAGAAAAGTGTATCTGAATTCTTTCATGTTGGCAGTGATATCAGAACTATTGCAGAGTGATTTTGTTGTCAGAGAAGGGGGAAATTTGAAAACTTAGGGGAGTGGGGTAAAGCAAAATATTTTCCCACTTGAAGGTAAAGTTCCACTAATCAATCATTGATCAATGACATGAAAGAAAGGCTCATAATAAAAAGTAATGATACATTATGAACATAGGACTTCATATTTTTTAAATGTTGGCAAATAATCAAAGATCTGATTAGGTACTGGTTAGAACACCCATCCCTCAATCTGTCTAATGCCCATTAATTAAATCAGCAGTCCAGGACACTGCTATGCAGAGATCAGGACAGATTAGGTTTCATTGTGAGATAGCCTTTGAATTCTCCCCCAAAAAATGAAGGAAAACTAGTTACATTCACAACCTTGTTCTGTCTCTTCTCCTCACCCTCTCCCTGGGACTTCCTTAGCAATGGGGATTTCTCCCCCAGGCAGGCTCTGAGGACCATATCTGGGAATGCAACACAATATGAAGTGACAGTCTTACAGCTTTGGCATGTTGAATAAACAACCTGGTGAAGAAGTGACACCTTGCAAGAATCAGAAAGAGTTTTGGTCACTGTCCTCAGTTAGGGGTCAGCCTCATGTTTTCACTGTGCACTCAGACACAAGTTGGTCACGTCAGGTGGTGCTGGTCACTCGTGTAAGACTTGTACAGTTCTGTGCTAAATCATGCAACAAACAACATGTAGTCCATTTATTGCTTGGAAATGCCCTTGTTTCTGTCAGCAAACACGTCTCTACATGGATAGCAGTGTAAGTGTATTGAATAGTGCCATTAAAACACCACCAGCTTTTTTGAATACAAAGGTTTTAGTTTTTGACATGTCCATTAACAGGTTCAGTATCTTTTTGTGCCAGTATCTCTGTGACCTTGTGTGTGCATGTATGCACGTGCATATGTGTGCATTCAGTTTCCTTTACTGCGGAAACTGAATGCTTGTATCTCTGTGTCTCTGTTAAGCACTTTGTGTGGACAAAAGCAAGGCACACCTGCGTCATTGTTGTAATGCCTCCAGTACAAAGGCAGAGCTTTTCTCAAACTGTATGGGAGAAACTCTGCCTGTAAGAGAAAAAGGATCCTGATTTAAAGGATGTTGGATCCATCAGTGACAACCAGCTTAAACCCACAGTGGCACCAGCATTGTCAGACAGTGAGCAACACCAAACACAATGCTGATCTTGCATTGCTTCCTGAGCACAGATGGATTTAGCTCCATGTGTTCCATGTGCCACATGGCCAATTGACAGTGGGATTCTCTGAACAGCTTGGTTTAGCACCCCTATACAGCAGTTGTCCCATGAGAGCACCTGGGTTTGCTCTGACCAGAGCATGTAGCACCCTTGCTCCAGGCTGCATCCTCATGCTCTCCTCAGGCCCTCACCTCTTGTTTCTCATAGCTGCCCCTCACCTCATAGCTGCTGCTGGGGCTCGGTTTGGATCTCGCTCCTTTCTGCAGTGTTCTCCTCCAATTTAGACGTGATATGCAGGGATAAGAGGGCCTACACCATGTTTCCTGAGGCTGTTTGCCACGAGCTCCTTCAGAATGGTGGATCTGGACCCCCATGCTAGGAAAGGAGGTTTGTGACCCAGGCCGAGCTTCCTCCGAGCTGGCGTGATGCACTCTCCTGCTCTGCAGGCCTTCTGCTCTGCGGTCTCCAGGAAAGACCACGGTCTGCTTCTCTGGAAGAAAAATGTATGTGATTGACAACTTCCACTTAAACCCTACTTGTGGGAATGCATCTCGTCATCATGATGTTCTAAATACAGATGGACATATTCCCTTGCATGAAGATGAATGCACCACACCTGTTTGTTGTTCTGAGCACAGCTATTAAAATGAGGAGAGTTTGATAGATACTCACCACCACACATTAAATCTGCAACCTACTAGAGCCATATCCTCTCCATTTTGTGCAGTAACCAGGTAACAGTAAACTGATTTATATTCCAGGGCAATTATCCACAGTGATGTGCTCCATTAAATGGGCAGACGGTGGCTTACATTTCATAATGTATAGTGACATATTGGAAATGAAAGTGACAAAAATTATAGATAGCCCTTTGGGTGAAGATGTGAAAGAAAAGGCATGGAGGAGAGAGGCCTAGGGGCTTGCTTTTGCAAAATGCCAAGCCAGGCTGCAACGTGACAGCACAAAGGGTTATAGTAAATGAGGTAACATCAGGCTGGTGACTGGTCACTAGTGGGGTTCCACAGGGCTCCATCTTGGGCCCTGTGCTCTTCAACATCTCCATAAATGATTTGGACTCAGGAACTAAAGGCATACCAAGTAAGTTTGCCTATGATACTAAATTGGGAGGAGCTGTTGACACCCTCGAAGGCAGAAGGTCCTGAAGAGAGACCTTGATAAATTAGAGGGCTGGGCAATCACCAATCATGTGAAGTTTAACAAAGACAAGTGCCAGATTCTGTACCTGGGACAGGGCATTCCTGGATGTTCGTACAGAGTGGGAAATGAGGTGCTGGAAGGCAGTGCGGTAGAAAGGACCTGAGAGTCCTGGTCAGTGGCAAGTTGAATATGAGTCAGCAGTGCCCTGGCAGCCAGGAGAGCCAACCATGTCCTGGGGGCCATCAGGCAAAGCATCGCCAGCTGGTTGAGGGAGGTGATTGCCCTGCTCTGCTCTGTACTGGTGCAGCCTTACCTTGAATATTGTGGTAGTTTTGGATGCCACAATATAAGAAAGATATGAAGCTATTAGAGAGAATCCAAAGGAGGGCTATGAAGATGGTGAAGGGTCTGGAGGGAAAGCCTTAGGAGGAGCAGCTCAGGTCACTTGGTCTGTTCAACCTGAAGGAGAGGAGACTGGGGGGAGACCTCATTGCAGTCTACAACTTCTTCATGAGGGGAAGAAGAGGGGCAGTCACTCTTCTCTGTGGTGACCAGTGACAGAACCTGAGGGAATGGCTGAAGTTGTGTCAGGGGAGGTTTTGGTTGGATATTAGGAAAAGGTTCTTCACCCAGAGGATACTTGGGCACTGGAACAGGCTCCCTAGGGGAAGTGGTCACCGCACTAAGCCTGACAGAGTTCAAGAAGCATTTGGACAACACTCTCATGTACATGGTGTGATGCTTGGGTTTGTCCTGTGCAGGACAATGAGTTGGACTTTGATGATCCTTTTGGGTCCCTTCCAAGTCAGGATATTCCATGAATCCTCCCATTTCCACTTGAGGAGTGTGAAAGGAGGGCACTAAGCCCCTCAGAGGAGTGCAGGATGGAGAAACTAAATATTCATTTATTTCCAAATATCATTTTCTGCTGCTCAAAAAACATTAAATTTGTTACTTTTCAAGTACTTTTCTATTTTTTATGAAGGAACATCATGAATGTGTGTATGCCAGTGTGTATTTGAGGATTTAGCTCAACTGTAATGGTTTGAGAGCCCCAAAAATCCAATTCTCGAGCCCAAGCCCCCCTCCCACATCTTGACCCAGCGTGAGATGGGTTTTCCAGACAACACATGAGACTCAATATGGGGGAAAGGGAAATATATTACAATGACTGTACAAATAAATATTACAATAATAATGGCCAGTCTTCGCGAGCGAAGATTTGGGAAAGGTCATTAACCCTTCGAGCCTGCGCAGTGGATTTTTTAGGTGAGACCCAGTGTGCGCTGAACTGAGCCCACCCTTTAATCCTGAGGTTCATCTGCC